AAAAAAAACGATTCCTTTAAAATCCCACCAAACAGACAGCATCACCTTTTTTTGTTGAATATCGGCTTTGGAAATGGTTTGAGCCGGTTCATCTTTTTTGCTCCATGACCTCTTGCATTTGACGTTGTTGTATACAACCCATTTTTCGTCCCCAGTGATGATGCGCTTCAAAAACGGATCATTTTCGTGACGTTTGAGAAGCGAATCGCAACTAATGCCTTTATCGCGTCTTTATCATCTGATCTGATCGAAATTTAGCGAACCAGTTCTGGCACTGGCGTACTGTAAACACACTTTCTCCATACACATCAGTCAATTTCTTTCTGGCTTGAACAGCATTTTTACCCTTTCTGTAGTATAATTAAAATTTAGTAAAACAAACAAATAGGTTCTTATTTTCTTCGAATTTTTAGTATTTATTTTAGGCAAAAACCATCACTATGTTCAGTAGCATGTATTCATTATAATTATTATTAAATCTCTGTTTAAAATTTAATTTCGATCAATATGTTACGAACTAGTTTGAAAGTGTCGCATTCATAAAAGTCTGAAATTCTTTTATTTGAAGTATTGAGGTAGAAGTTTATATACAAACAAGTTGTTTAGTAAATAAAGAAGACTGTAAAATCAATTCTGCTTGCTGGAATATGCAAATTTTCTGAAATATTATTATTATGTTCTTTTTTTGAAAAAATGCAATTATTAAAATGCAAATTATGATGAATAATGACTAGCATATTGAATAATTAACTATCCTGCATCTCCAGGACTGTCAATGAGAATTATGGTTAATTGATTGTTACCTATAAATGGACCAATTATTAAGGATAAAAATCCGTTAATCATCATTTGTACTCCAAATGCAGTGGCCAGTTTTTCATATGGAACGTATTTTGGTAAAACTAATGACTGAAAAACTGCCTTTCCACCTTTTGATAAACCCCATAACGCACTACAAGCTAATACCACGTATCCAGTATCACAGAAAATTGCTAAAACTGCAACAAAAAAAAGTTGGTTAAAATTTCAAATAAAAATCGGGTCCTAATCGTTCTACAACATTTTCAAAATATTTTGTTTATGTGATATGTACATTCTATTTTGGGAAATCAGATAACAGGATGGAAATACAAGTAGGGATATAAATCAGAGGATAGGACAGAGTTTAGTCGCCTTCAATAAAAAGAAAAGTCACTTCTATGCTCGTGAACGGTTAATTCAGAAATTCTAAAAAAATTGTTAAAGTGTGAAACATGGACAGTGGGCGCAAGGGAAAAGAAAAAGAATGATGAGGATACCGTAGATAGAGAGGGTTAGAAATTAAGAGGTATTAGAAAAGATAGGGTAGCAGAGGACTATATGGAAGTCAATAATAGGTGAGATACGTTGGTAGGACGCCTCTTCAGGCATAAAGGTCTAGTCAGAGACATATTAAAGGCAGAAACAGGAGTTGATGTGAGATGTTCTAGTTTTAGTAACATGAGAGGATTAGCTCAGGTTAGAAAAGAGTGGGGATGCGTGTCCAACCAGTCTTGATTTTATCCCATTTTGATACTTACTAGTTCTTGCTATTGAAGATCCAATTAAAGTAATGGCATACATTAATCTTGGGTGCCATCCACTCTTATGGGAAAGAATTGGTAATGCCAGCCTTCCGAAGATGTCAAACGCTGATTGAATTGACATCACCATGGCGACATCTTTCCTCTCGAATTTAGCCATTTCGTATAATACAAATGGTACCATAAGTAAGAAGTTAAGTTCTGCCGCATAAGAGATTCCCATTCCCATCACCAAAGACACANAACTACTGCGTAGAATTAATTGGAATTTTTCACACACAAGCCTTGCTATATGAGCTCTCAAAGCATATAAAAATTATACGGCTTAAATGTGAAGTTGGGTGCAAAAGAATACAATTAAATCCTCTGTCGGGAAAAAACGAAATGACTTTCCGAACAACCCGATAGATACTTTACTCAGATTTAGGATTGCTACCAGGCCAGTTTTTCATAAATAAAGCCGGGCACCCGCCAGCATTAAAAAAAGACCGATTTTCCTATGATTGTCATAGATACTTATATTATTCAATTCAGAAAAGCTGCTAGAAACATGAAATCAAAATATGTCCTGCCATCTGTTGATAAATATTAAGACTTATTGCTTACTTATTTTTTTACTTAGAATTTGTATGTTTCAATACTTTTGTTATTGGTTCTTGACAGCTATAGTATTTCGTCATAATACCAAACGGTATTACAAAGTTTTAATCTTATAGCATTTTTTCTTTTAATCTAAAATCTAAATCATAGTATAGCATAGGATCTTTGAAAAAACAATTATAGTAAAATGTGTGATCCTCAAAAAAACACCCCCAGGACCGATTTACAATTAACAAAAAGATGGCAATCCTACTCAGATTTGTGTATCTGTGTATGTTGTTGACTATTAAATAAAAGATGGTTACACAAGGGGATCGTCTTCAGAATTTCACCATTTTGGAGCCATCTCTCCCCCTTCGTCACGTTAACTCAAACTTTCAACGTCCCCCTAATAAATATTACGTCGCAAAAGCTAGTCCACCCATCTACAAACGATTTATTGTACACAAATTTACTTGAATCGATGAAGCTTTCAAGTAATGTAACTCCATATTTCTCCACTTGAGATATATGATATCTGATATATCTTCACCACCTGAAGAAGGCACAGTGTGTGGAAATAATTATAGTGGTTATAATAAATTATTTGTAAATTCCAAGTGTTGCTATTTTTTTTTACAAATTTACTTTTACGAGAGGTGGTTAAGAAAAAAATTAAAATAAAATTGATGAACAACGAACATCACATTTCCTTTGATTACTCCTTCTCCCCTTTTTAATTTTTAATATGTAAATGTTAAAATAATGCTTACATTCGGCGAATCTCTAAAAGTAATAATTAAACATCTGCATGAATAAGCCTGAAAAATTACGACCCATCGAAGTTATGGTTTCCCTTGGTGCTTTTTTCATTTTCACTACTTTTGGTAATAGTAATAAACAATACATAACACACGGGAACAGAAGCGTTTTAAAAGTTAACAATTCCGGTTGGTTAAATGATCAAATAAATTTCAGTTGCAATAATTTTAAAATGTTTGTGTTAATCAAAATCACATAAGTACAGACTTTTTGAAGGGGACGTTAGTGAGGGTGGTATTTAATGGAAAACTCGTCAAAACGAAGTCATAAACCATTAACCGTACTGATTTTGTCAGGTGCTAGGCACAGGTAATGCTGGGTACACGATTATCCGGCACTCGCAAACTCACCATTCGGAGCTCTTTAGTTTTTAACTACCTTTTCTATAAACTCTGATGTATTCGAAATGTACTCGGAACAATGAAAAATTCAAGTTTCGACGTCCCTCAACTGGTCGCGGCTAATTTTTAAGATGCGGTTGCATATTTTTTAATTTTCCAGTACCATGCCGTCCAATGTTCCCTCCTGATTCTAATCATACCTTAATGAGAGAATTAAGAGCATATAATCATGAATTTGAACTTTTAAGCACCTTTGGAAAACAATATTAAAAATTTTTGTTAATGATAAATTAATAATGTAATAAAGTGTATTATACATATAAATTTTAACGTAGTTTAAGTTTAACGAAAGGGTTATTTAATAATAATCAAATTAAACTGAATTCTTAATTTTTCAAAATAAATAACTTAGGTTTGCTATTTCTTATAAATACTGCATCCCTTATAATTTATTGAGGCGAAGTAAGCCGAAGGCTAGCGAAGCTCCATTCTTCCCCGATTCAGGACTCTTATTGTTTAGCCCCATTTCATCTTGCAGCATACTGCGAAAATTACCTAGTATTATAGAAGAATATAAATACACTGCATACTCTGGAATACACCTTGTACGAAATAATAAACGAAACAAAGTATATAATCTTTGGTTTATTGTTGTATAAAATATTTTGATTAAAATGTGGGAACAATTAAAAAAAACTAGACTATTAGGAGTCTTCTAATGCTGCAGTGGCCTTTGCCTTTTTACTTCGCAAAAAGAATTCAATACTCCATGCAATAAAAGCNATAATTAATTTATTTATTAATTATAATTGAATTATTGTTTGAGTAAATAGTTTTTATTCATTAGTTAAATAAAAGGTCAGGGCTTTTCACTAAAGCGTATTAGATCAGTAGAACATTTATCTAGTTAACAGATTATTTATTGAAACAGTCAATGTCCAGACGTTCCACTCAATACTATCTATGATAATTCAGTAAACAATAGAATAAGAAGAAGGGAAGGTAATGATAAAAAGGAAAACATAATGGCTGAAATAGGATCTCAAGAAGAATAATCAAAATAATAACCCTTATTTTATATCAAAAATTCATAGATGTTCTTTAAAAACTACACTTTGAAAGGTACACGTTTTATGGGAGATATTACAACATTGTAGATCAAATTACCCCAAAAGCGGCATGTTTTCGATTCGTGGAACATGCACAGTTGATTCTAGCCCTATAAGTCTTCCAAGCTACGGTTATTGAACATTTACATTAGTTGTTTTTTCCTTCTTTTCCCTCATTAGGTTTGTGATTAGTGAAGCATGCGTTAACTACGTAATTTGGCTGCTAAGGTCTTTACACCTCGCAAAATAACGACTATTAGACGTACACACGCTACCTTTCAATCAAATTCTTGACTTGTTTGTTGAAGCAAACATTAGTTAAAGTCGACTTTTAGCCTTATATTAGTGCCATTAAACCTATTCAAATTTTCCTGTCAATCATTTTTTTATTTCTCACTACCTTTTTTCATTCTAGTCCCCACAATTGGAATGTTCAATCGATTTATACTATAATTGCTAAATTTCGTCATATTAGAACCAGGCCCAGCTTTTCTATTGGCCACTCTGGGCAAGTACCCATCAGGGCCCCACGTTTGAAGGTAGCCCCCTAATTGCTGCCAGATTCATCCGCCAACCGAAACCCGATAATTATATATATTTATATTGAGCAAATTAACCAATAATTACAAAACAAAACTAAAAACAATTCTAAATGTAGAAAGTGCATTGAGAATCTTTCTAAGCATGATGGTAATTGACTGCAATGGAGAACGCTCCTTCTCCAAATTGAATAGAATAAAAAACGAACTAAGAAGTACAATGATTCAAAAATTATTGGCCAGTTTGTCGCTAATGTTTTGATTTTCTCAAAACTAGGAGAACGTTATTAATAAGCACATAATTTTGAGTACTAACCTGTTAATGCCAAAAAAGTTACTTTTCCAAATCGTCATCCATAAAATGCATCATTCAGAATTTGACTTTACCCCTTCGTCACGTTAAGTCACACTTTCAGCGACCCCTCTAACAAATATGACTTCTCATCCCTATTCCCATATAAACAATTTTTTTGTGATTAAAAATAACAATGAGAATGACTTTCTATCGTAATGAGAAATTTTAAGAATTGCCAAAACATTAAAATAAAATTGATGAACAACGAACATCACATTTCCTTTGATTACTCCTTCTCCCCTTTTTAATTTTTAATATGTAAATGTTAAAATAATGCTTACATTCGGCGAATCTCTAAAAGTAATAATTAAACATCTGCATGAATAAGCCTGAAAAATTACGACCCATCGAAGTTATGGTTTCCCTTGGTGCTTTTTTCATTTTCACTACTTTTGGTAATAGTAATAAACAATACATAACACACGGGAACAGAAGCGTTTTAAAAGTTAACAATTCCGGTTGGTTAAATGATCAAATAAATTTCAGTTGCAATAATTTTAAAATGTTTGTGTTAATCAAAATCACATAAGTACAGACTTTTTGAAGGGGACGTTAGTGAGGGTGGTATTTAATGGAAAACTCGTCAAAACGAAGTCATAAACCATTAACCGTACTGATTTTGTCAGGTGCTAGGCACAGGTAATGCTGGGTACACGATTATCCGGCACTCGCAAACTCACCATTCGGAGCTCTTTAGTTTTTAACTACCTTTTCTATAAACTCTGATGTATTCGAAATGTACTCGGAACAATGAAAAATTCAAGTTTCGACGTCCCTCAACTGGTCGCGGCTAATTTTTAAGATGCGGTTGCATATTTTTTAATTTTCCCGTACCATGCCGTCCAATGTTCCCTCCTGATTCTAATCATACCTTAATGAGAGAATTAAGAGCATATAATCATGAATTTGAACTTTTAAGCACCTTTGGAAAACAATATTAAAAATTTTTGGCCTGATATTTTAATTTCAGGCAGTGGATTAAATCCCGACAGCCGGGATTCAACAATTCATCTTAAAATATCGGTTCAAAAACCTCAAATAAAATGACGCAAACTGCAGCAATTTTAAGTTGCATTTGAAGGCCCCAGCTGCCGATATTTCAAGCTGAATTTGCGATTCCTGTCAGATGGGATTTGATCCACGACCTTCATTTTAATATGTATTATTGATAAAGTCAGTTGTATATGGAAATTACCAGATATCGGTGGCCATTTTGAACTTATTTTAGTTCTCCTCGACATATNACGTAGTTTAAGTTTAACGAAAGGGTTATTTAATAATAATCAAATTAAACTGAATTCTTAATTTTTCAAAATAAATAACTTAGGTTTGCTATTTCTTATAAATACTGCATCCCTTATAATTTATTGAGGCGAAGTAAGCCGAAGGCTAGCGAAGCTCCATTCTTCCCCGATTCAGGACTCTTATTGTTTAGCCCCATTTCATCTTGCAGCATACTGCGAAAATTACCTAGTATTATAGAAGAATATAAATACACTGCATACTCTGGAATACACCTTGTACGAAATAATAAACGAAACAAAGTATATAATCTTTGGTTTATTGTTGTATAAAATATTTTGATTAAAATGTGGGAACAATTAAAAAAAACTAGACTATTAGGAGTCTTCTAATGCTGCAGTGGCCTTTGCCTTTTTACTTCGCAAAAAGAATTCAATACTCCATGCAATAAAAGCTATTATTAATAATACACATTGTGAAAAGATGCATATCTTATAGCTTCCCGTTGCATCACGAATGTATCCTAAAAAAAAATCAAATTAATTGTGATTCGTTTTTTAAAAATTCGAAAACCCGAATTGACTAGATTTTCAGTATATTGTATCTGAAATTCCGACCAGTAGTCCCAAAGAGTTGGAGTTCCACAGTAAATAGTAAAATAATAAATATACACATAATATGAATATACCTAATTGACATTAGGACTTCATATGCATAGAATCTAATCAGAAGAATAAGGCCTAAAACGTACTAAAAATCCAGTCAATTCGACTGTTAATCTATATTTTTAATTTTTTTGCTTAATCGATTTCTGATCTTTTTTTTATTCAATTAGTATAGTCCTTAATTATTTTATTGTTTTTATAATCACTTATTGTTTGTTTTTGATGAATATACTTACCGAGAGGGGGGCCCAGGAATATTACAAAAAATCCTCGTATTACCATATGTAATCCCATAGCGGCTGGGAATTTTTCAATAGGAACTACTTCCGATATTGTTATAAGAAAGTTTATGAACACGAAACCTCTAATAATTCCAGCCACAGCAAGAACGATTATCATTGGTATAAATTCTGTTTGGAGAGCCATAACTAAAATAAGTGACTAATTTTAATGTATTATACGGGGCTTTGAACTAAAAGTACACTTCTAATACGAATAAGTGAGTGACTTTTATACAATAAGTTTAAATAGTAACATTTTTTAATTCGTATAACTATCAGATAACAGGTATAGTATAATTCCTATCTACTAAATTATATCTGGTTACTGTAGTACCTATTGTACATGCTTGACAAGAACTTTACCCTTACATAGGACTATACTTGCCAAACTGATCGTAAATATACAGGGTGTAACAGAAATAAGTGCCGAGCTTGCAGGAAGTTATAGAGCACTATAAAACACGAAAATTAAGTAAATATTTGTATGTCCGAAAATTTATCGTTTTCTATAAAAACAGTTGAAAGTACAGGTAAATTCAATCCCGGCCCTGGTAAAGAAATACGGTCCGCAACGCTGCACTTAATCACCTTTCTATAATCGATATTGTTTACATTCTCCATCCATGTAGTTGCAGAGTTTTTATCGCACTACGCTATTCGGTAGACACTTATGCTGCTAATTCGCGCACGGAACCGTCTTAGGATTGTACATTATTGTGATTTTTTTAAAAATAATTTTTGCCCTTAACTACGCTGTTTGATTGTTTATTGCATTTAGTTTACCTTTTTCAAAGCTCGGATGTTATTTCTGTTACACCTTGTACGATGCAGCCTATATTACACAAACAAAATTATAAAGAACATTAAACTCTCGGTCAACAATTTATAAAAGTTCCCATGTGGATCGAAGATCGCGATTAAATATTAGAAATCATTAAATGGCGATGTAATTCTATATTTCCGGTTCGGCTTGACTTGTGATTTATTTACTACCTAGAATTACTGATGCAACGGTAGTGTCATAGCGGAAGCAGAAGCGGAAACAGAAGTAAACAGTAAATTTTTGCGGAAGCGGAAACGGAAGCAGATGCGGAAGCGGATGTGTAATAAGTTTAGGTGACTCTTTAATGCAGTGGTTGTACGCCCCTTTCGCGAATATTTTGTTACAGATTTTAAATTCAGTACTTACATCGTTAATATCAACAAAATAATACCAAAGAAAAATTCTTTTTGATTTCAAAATTGCACTTTTAATTCAGAATTTACACCACTAAGTAAACACTATAACTGTGTTAGTATTTTGGAAATGAAATTATCAAAAGAATTGCTAAGGGGGAGCTAAAAGTCCTGAGCGTTTTTAGATTAAAGTAGAAAACCAATAAGAGTATAACCAAAATTTATACCTATATTTTATATTTTGTCAGGGTAGGGGAAGAGAACCAAATTTGATATTGCGGGGGGCCTTGCGACTATACACTACACAAATAGTTTCACGACGAGAGATTCAGTACCTAATACTATTTCAGTATTCTGATTACGTGGATATAGGGTTATAGGGTCAGAACCTCATAAAGTTTTAAGGATAGAGATTTAAAGGATTGTGAAATTATACATTTAATAGAAGAGTTGATTAGTTACGGGTTTTAGATTTAAAATCGTTTGGAATTTTAATGATTAATAGTTTTAGCGGATTTTGAAGTGTTTTCGGAGATTATGCTCAAAGTCTGACGTGCTGGGGTTAAATTGACCGCAGATTTGAATTCAGCGACTCCAATGCGACTTTGTATTGCGCTACTGTCGTGGTAATTTCGATAAGTTTAACTCAAGAGCTTAATGTTTTTATTAGCAATAGTATTTTATTCGCACGGGTGCAATGCTGATACTAAATATGTATATTTTTGTTTTGTTTAGATTATTATCGAGAAGGGGAAATCTTCAAAAGATACCCCCTGAACATACTAAATATACTACAGAATGTCTTTATATACAACATTCACAATTTTTTGTCATTAGACAATAGAAACCGGCCTCCCGCCCGGTACCGCCGAGCCGCTATGTATTTTAAGTCTGTAATATCTTCGAAAATATTCATTTAAATTACATGCTGTAAAGGGCCATATTGATCTATCTTAAATGTACAATGTATTTAAAAGTACTTAATTGGATAAGAATTAATGCTGTATTGCCTACAATCGCTTCGTAAATAAGTCATTATTCCTCATAAAAACTAAAGGATAAAACTGGTTATTGTGGGTTATCTCTAAGAGATAGACATGTACCATCTCGGACTTTTTTGTAGACCCTTTAAAGATGTACAGTATTGTAGTACATTATTTTGATCTATCTCGTAAGGTTCAGCCAGCGTTTGCAATGTAAGCGCAAAAAATGTGTTTATTTACGACATCACATTAGAAACCTCTAAAATTGTCAGTGTTTCCGTACTATATTATGCATGTATTATACATATAAACCTTCCTCTTGAATCACTCTATCTTTTAAAAGAAACCGCATCAAAATCCGTTGCGTAGTTTTAAAGATTTAAGCATACATAGGGACAGACAGTGGGAAAGCGACTTTGTTTTATACTATGTAGTGATTATGTATGTTTCCATAAACTTACCTCCTCTAGACAATGCTAGTAATAATAGTCCTACCCAAAAGAGCTGTCTTTTCGTAAAATTAAATCTGTCGAGTACTGAGGGTAAAATAAGTCTAGCACAGATGTCGGTAAAGGATTGAACTGATAAGAATAGGGCAACTCCTTTTGTATCGTATCCTAAGTTTCTAAAGAAGAACGGTATCACAGTCTTAAAGTTTCCTTCGGATGAGTAGAAAAGTGACAAGCCTATAACTAAGTTGACGTAGACGGGATCATGAAGAATATCAAAATCCATGAAGCTGTGAACCTTCTGCCAAATCGAAGTCTTTTTCTTTTCCTTTAATTTTTGAAATTCTGGCGACAGAACAACGTCTTTAATAGTACGTTCCGGTTTTACCGATGCATCCATCGCAGCGACACTGTGGTGACGTTTTCGAGGTTTCTTCACAACTTTCAAATCATCTGCACTCTGTCGAAGATAAAGTTAACAAACCATGTTACACTGGATAAAAAACAATCGAACTTTACCTCAAAATTTAAAAACGTTGTTGATCCCGTTAAGTCCATTTGACCATAAGCTGACATATCCTGGTCGCTACCACTATTCTTTATCCTCGAACCTTCAAAACTTTTCGTTGATGCGCTTTTTCTAAATTTCGTTTGGAAGGTGTCAAAATCTTTAAACGTATTTTCACTCGCATTTTTGGGTACGCGACCTAAATCTGTATTTAATAAAATTCTGGTTTGCGCTTCTTCATCATCGCCTTCTTCTTCTGCAATCGTTTCCATCGGCTATGAAAAAAAGGACACATTTAATAATTTCAACGTCATAAAATTATTGCCATTAAATTTATTTTTAGAACGATCAGTTGGAAAAGCAGTACAATTTTCAGTAAAACCGCTGTTTGCCCGGATTCTATTTTCGGCCAACACACAAAGTTTTTTTATTTACGATTTGGTAAAATAATGATAAACTAGAGATGAGCCGGGTACCCAGTTTGGATCCAGACCATTTTTAAGATCCAGCCGGGTATCGAATAATGACGTCGCGTACCGCCAGTGCGGGTTGAAAAAAGAAAAATAAATACTAGCAATAAAAAAAAAACCTAATACAAATTAAAATTAGGATTGAGATAGGTCGTCTGTTCTATTATTTATTGATAACTATACTAAATTATTTGTTGTTTCTAGTTCTTGTATTTAATTTTTCTCATGAACATGAATACATCAGTAAGGCCGAACTATTATACAATGAACATTATAAACTCGTTTCAACGGTTTCAATTTAATCCTATTGTTGAAAATCCGCCAGCCAAGAATTAAAATTTCATTGGTTTAGCATTTTAACGACTTTTGAACGAGACTGAATGTGGTTGGGGATGTTGGTGAGGGTGGTATTTAATGAAAAGTCCGCCAGAACGAAAACTTGAACCGGAGTGTTTATCCGACACCCGACAAAATCACTATCCGGTACATCTCTAGATACAACTGATTGAATTCTGGCAATGAGCGACACTAACTATGAAAATATTGTTACAATGGAAGTGAAACGTATAAGCAAATGAGATGTGAACAGATAATAGCAATTGTCTACTAATTAAGTTGTTTTGTGTTCTGAGAAACATTTGTACTTACCTTTTTCTGCGATTCCTGTTCTAAAGGAACATAATGCCATTCGGCTGGTTGGAGTAAGCAAGCTCCAACAAGAGCGTGAAGTGAAAAGCCTCCCATAATGAGGATCGCTCCGCGGAATCCGTAATGGTGTAACAGAATCTGGGCTGCTTGAGGTATTAGAACCATTCCAAGTGCTGATCCGGCTACAGAATAACCGAAAGCCCTTCCACGCTTTTTCACGAAATACCGATTAAGGGCTACAAAAGTCGAAGAAGTCGTCAAGCCTGCACCGAGACCTACAAAAATTATATAATTATTATAATAATCTATTAACTAATGACCTAATACAATAGCTTTAGTTCCTAACAACCTAATGTCTATAGCGCATAGTAAATGACGGTGGCAATTTAAAATTGTTGGACGCGATTGGCCAGTTTGTCGATTTTATTTGAGTGGTTCTATCAAATATCAAAGAGGTCTGTCCCGTGACCCGTCTGCTAGCAGCAAACAGCTATCATTCATTCAACTTGTAACATTCGAGAGATTGGAACCTTGCATGGTTATATGTATACATATACAGCTCTGGTTCAAATGTTTTTTTGTTGTTTGCTGCCTGGACACTCGAAACCAAGAGTCGTGTTTTGAAAAGAAGAATGGACTAAACTAGTAAAAATGCAAATAGATCATTGTAACAAGCACAGGGAAAGTTATAAACAAAACTTACAAAACGATTTAAAGCAAAAATACTTAATAAAAAGGCCGTCCGACATTAAATCATGAGAATGTGGATTACTTATAAGTATTGAGAAATGATGTACGAGATGTGGCAATTAAGGTCCGATAATTTCATTGTAACTTTCCACCTAATAATACGGAGGATTCGTACTCGCGTTATTGCGAATTTTAAATCTTCCTTTAGCATCCTTTAGGATGAAGTCGGTAGATCGTTTCGATAAAAATTACCTACAGTATATTATGGTATGAATGTACTATGTTGTGTTGTTGAGCGAAAACAATTTATCTATAGCAACGTAAACTGCACTTTTACCATAAAAATAAATAAATAAATCTAAATTTTAAAATACTACACTGCTTACGACATAATTCACATAATTCTAACTAGGTACAACTTTTTCGAAAACGTATGGTTGTACCTTAGCTATAAAATATATCGTTCTTCAAATCATTTTAAGCAGATAGTTTATGAACATGTATAGGGATATAGCCAATACATCTAATTTTTCGTTTAACTTTAAAAAATCAAGTTTAATTTGAAACACCATAAATAGAATAACAGAATTGCAAGATGTGCGCAAACTTTTAAAAAGTTTGTTTGAAAGTAAACTATAAATTACTTCAGGATAGAGGAATTGTATTATAGTATATATAAGACTTTCTCATGCCTCTGCAGTGCTCTAGGTTTTCAGTTTGTTTTAGTTTTATATTCCGGATCAGCCCTTGCTGTTTTTATTGAATTACAAAAATACAAACTACAAAATCCAGATTTCAGAGTAGAAGTGGGCTTATGTCACCGTCTGTAGATATTTGTTACTAATTGTAGTAATTCGTAACATTTGACAAAGATTGTCTACTTACTATGCTAAACTGTACGTATAATAACTTTTGGCTTGCTTACAATTTTGTTTTAATTTGTAAGGCAGTTTTCTTTTTTGTTCATTATTACTTTTTGAAATGATTTACACTTTCACGTTTCTTTTTATAGAAAATAAAAGAATTGAAATTGTCAATACGCTTAAGAAAATATATATTTTCAAAAAAAATTATTATTAATTACGTTACAGAGTTATAATGATATTCACATCCTAAAATGTATTTGTTTGTTAAACTAATCAGCATCGAATGCTTTATGACGTTGTCTGAATTCATTGTCTTATTGATGACGAAGTATCTGTGTATATTATTACTAATTATGTACATTTCACTTTATAGTACGTAAATATAATAATTATAACGCACTCAAAAGCATTTTTTAAAATATAAATATCTATCATATCTCTGTTTCAATTGGATACTTAAGCGGTATTCCTATTTTTTGTATTAGCCCATTTAATTGCAGCGTGAAATAGATAAAGTGTTGAGTGATAAAATTATATTTTTATGTAACATTTCATTTTCTGATACACAATATTACACTGTGTGGTTAAGTGTTGGTAGCTTGTATTGCCTTGAAAAAATAAATTTTGATTATATCATGAAAAAATAACCTTTCGGCTTTCCTATAATTTAATTTAAAACCTGATTTTATGATATTATACAGGTATAATTACGTAAATGATAAAAAGTGTTACAATTAAAAATCGTGTTAGGCTATTGAGATAAATACTTACATCAGATTTCAGCCTACAATATACATATAAATATCTTTATAATTACCATTGGATCAATGACTACTTAATTATAATATTAAATATTTAAAAAACTGCCCAGATATAATAAAATATGGTAAGAAAAATAGGTACATTTACCAAAGATTTTCATAATTTTTCCCAATAAATTCACAGAGGGTTTTTTGAGATAATTAATTGTCAATAGGAAGTTGGTTTATTAAAGTTGTTGGTTAGTAAACGTAAAAGTCATTAGAAAATAATTTGCGAGAGGGTCTCTAACGAGATCTGTTCAAAAAGTATCGCGAATTTTGTGTTTTTTCAAAAATTATTTATTTATTCATGAATATATATTTTGTTCCCTTCAAAGCAATCTCCACCGGATATTAAACACTTGTGTTTTTTCCAATCTCCGAAGCACTTCAAAAAATTATTTTTTGTGATCTTGTTCAGCTCCTCCTTCGATGCCGTCTCTATCCCCTCAATCGTAGCGTAGCGTCGTTCTTTCATGAGCCTCTTCAGTTTTGGGAACAAGAAAAAAGTCACAGGGGGGCAGATTTGGGCAATATGGTGGTTACGGCGATGTGTGAGCAAGGGTGTTATCATGGTGCAAAAGCCAATTTTTGTTCTTCCACAAATCTGGGCGTTTCTGGCGAATTGCTTCGCTCAAATTGCGCATAACTTTCAGGTAATATTCCTTATTGACCGTTTTACTATGTGGCAAGAACTTATGATGCACCACGCTCCTGCAATCCAAGATAACTGTAAGCAAAACCTTCACATTCGAGCTAATTTGGCGCGTTTTTTTCTGTCTTGGCTCGTACAGCAGCTTCCATTGGAATGATTGAGCTTTGGTTTCCACGTCATAACCATAAACCCATGATTCGTCACGAGTTATGACCCTCTGGAGCAAATTTGGGTTGTCGCGGACTGAGTCGAATAGCTCCTTAGCAATATTAATGCGATGCTGTTTTTTGTCGAAATTGAGCAATTTTGGTACGAATGTCGCGGCAACCTGTCTCACCTGTCTCGTGCCCAAATCATTGGTAAAAATCGAATGGCAGGTATCAATCGATATGTTTAGGTCCTCAGCAACTTCTCTAACGGTGATTCGACAATTGGCCAATACTATTTTCTTCACTTCATTAATGTTTTCGTCTGTTGTTTACATGCTGGGGCGTCCGGCACGCTTTTCATCGTTCACATCTCGGCCCTTTGAGATCAATTTGTACCACTGATTCTTTGATCCGTTTTTTGGAATAGGCAAAAGCAGCTGTCAAAAATTAGCTGAACATTTGACATGGCCGAACTTGTCGGTATAAGTTAGAGACATGAGAACCAACATAACGCAACAAAAAATCGAAAATCGAATATACATAACCCACGGAAATTCAAAATTCGCAATACTTTTTGAACAGACATCGTACAGCACCCAATGACTTTTTAGAAATATCGGTATACATATTTTTGATATTATTCAAGACGAAACATTCTGTTTGAGACTTACCATTGATAATACTGTACGTGATTATTATATGAGAAACATTTGTGGCAAATGTAGTTAGAATAAGCCCGATTCCAACATATAACGCCCCAACTGCGGTAACTTTACGATATGAAAATTTTCTGATTAAAGGTCCGGTCAGGATACCAGAAAAATTGATTAGTATGTCCATTGTGCTTGTTATCACAGTAGCTCCAGTTGTACGAACACCCAGGTCGTCTAACATGTCCCCAAATACTAATCCAAAACATTGTTCCATCGATCGAGCATTTAACTGTCATTGTAAGAAACAAAAAAGTCGTTAACTAAAACTCCTTACGGTACAACATATGTGAAACATCGTAATTAATTTGAAAATAAAACAATAGGAACGTTTCACAGATCACGAATGTTATTATCTTCAAAATAAAAGAGATCTTCAAAAATACGATTTAGAAATACAAAAAGAAATTGCAAATCTTTTAGACTTGAACCCAGGATGCAGGGTTTGCATCGCGCCATTCGTCAAAAAAATCCAGAATCCTGAATCCTGTCAAAAACTCTTCCGAAAGCCTACGAAACTGTATAGACATACTAGAGACTAGTCCTAGACCATAACTAATTTTAGTTATTGATAAATATCGATAATTATCTTTAACTGTCGATACGTCGATAATTATATTAATATATCGATAACTGTCATTATATACATATATATGTTATCAGAGATTCCTAGGAAATGTATACAATTCCGAGGCTATACAGGAAATGTATAAAATATTGTTTTAAAGATTTTTTAATACACACATATCCTAATAAATGTATACATTTGTAGGAATTGTATGAAATTCCGGTATTGTACTAGGAAATGTATAAAACTAAAGCTTTCTGTGAATAAAATACTCTAGCAGGGGCATTACATAAACTCCAATCTGTCATAAATCTACCTAACCGTCACCAATACATATGCATCTCCAGGCAGATTGTCATATTATTGACTATTTTATGTCATATGCTGCCAAACTATGCTTCATTATCATTTCTACGACCAACATATATATACACCAAAATGATTAGCATATTCACCTCTACAACATACGAAAAATTCATATGCATTGGTGGCGTCATTGTTTGGTTAGGTTAGTAGTTTATTCACAGAAAGCATTCGTTTTATACATTTCCTACAACAATATCGAAATTTCATACACTTCCTACGAAATGTATACATACCCAGGATATGTGTGTATTTAAAAATCTTCGAAACAATATTTTATACATTTCTTGTATAGCCTCGGAATAGTGTACAGTATTTCATAGGAATTGCATACATTTCCTAGGAATTGTATACAATTCCTAGATTTCATACATTTCCGGTAATATGTATAAACATCGGCGGCGTACCTACAATTTACAATTGTAGTTCTTTTTTAATTGTAAGGCTTATGCAAATTTGAATTTTCTTTAAAAATATTTCAAAAATATACCATAATGTAAATGACAAAAAACGGTACTATTAGAAATAGGGAAATTTTCAAAAGAGTTGGGGGCATTTTCCACAGTCTTTAGCCGATTAGACTAGACCCTTTGAAACCATGCTTACTTTGCCTGGCGTTTGAGCATTTATTAAACTTTTTTTTAATTTTCTGTAATTCATAGAATTAAAAGTGAGAATGTAAATTTGAGGTGTTTCTTTTAGTGGGAATCTTCTTGTAAACTTCACAAAAAATTGTATTGTTTTCATGTTGTTGTACAGTGTAAGGGGATTTTAATATTTAATTTAATAAGGTCGTCTTATTTTTCTATTTAATTATTTTTTTCCTTTTTTAATTATGCACTAACGGAAGATAAAAGGGGCTTGAAGTAAGTGCAGTGAATCCATTACATATTTTGTTTTTCAAGTAGGTAATAGTATGAAGTCGTATATTGTCCTGCTTAACCATAACCATATTAATTATTTTTCGTAGAAAATATACCCTTCAATCGATTAAAACGACAATAAATAATCATTGAATTTATTACAGTACATTAAACTTTTACGATTGGATGTATCGTTGGTTATTGTTGTCGAAATCTTTATGCACCATTATTGTTTTATTGTTGTGAAAATCGACATCTAATAACTGTTTTGAGAGTTCAATTAATATATGTGTTTATTAGTATTTTTATTGAAAGCAATCTATTCTAATATTCTACATCAACAAATTTTTCATAATGTCAGTAATAGACATTTTCATATTGTAGTTAATTGCCACAGAAAGCCCATTTAAAAAGATTACCTACATATGATAACAACTTATCCATCTGAACCGTAAATTGATAACGATTTTGCAATCATAGGTTAGAAAATTATTTCGAGTGGTTAACAGTAATTGAATTCAATTACATCGCGGAATGCTGCTCTACACAATATAATAGAGTACACCTTTCGTCTAGGGAAACAATAAATTAATAAACTGTAATCATAATTAAAACAAAACAAAATTTTGTATGAGGACAGAAATTCCGAAATTAATTAATTCATTTATGTGAGAACGTATTCATTAACGATATACATATGGATTTAACTGAAAACGTACTAATGTACATAATTTTGAATAAATTATGTACATTAGTGCGTTTTTTTTTTTGTTTTTTAGAGGTTTTACGATTATTAGATATTGTGTTTTGCTCATGTTGTTCGACCATTTGTTATAAAAATGTTTACAGCTCTGCAACAAAAGGTGCTAAAGAAAATCTCATCATCATGAAGCGCGTCAAACTTATGAAGCTTATGAACATAGTCGAAGAAGGTTTTAGTATTTTGAAAATTAAAACCTAACATCAAAAAGGTTATTTTCATATATGAGTTTTGAAATCGCTGCCTACAATACCCCATGATAATCAATGCTGCAATCAGGCTGGTTTTGATAAAAACTGTTCATTTATGAATACACTTTTGAATAGATTCCTTTATTTATTCATTAACCAATAATCACTTATGATATTAGGTCAAGTGGTGTAGTTAGATTTCTTTAGCGTTTGTGGTTGCAGAACAAGCCTTTTTATGTCAATGGGTCGAATAACGTAAACAAAACACATGTTAAAAAAAAACTAGGAATTGGAGCGTTTTCAGATTGTTTTTACGAAAAGTTCTAACAGACATTTTTGGTTTCAAACGATGTATATAATGCTGTAAGCTACATGTTTCTTATTAGCTGATGATAAATATCGATTCAAATGATTTAACATACTTTACTTGTTAGATAGCTATGTCTAAATTGTAGTGTTACGCCATAATGTTTAAAAATAATAAGTTTTAATTGATTTGAAATTACTTTAATTATCTCCTTAATTGCTGATTACACATCAAAAGAACCACTTGCACTAGATGATAAGGAAATAAAAAGCAAGCAAGAACAAAATTATTTCTTCTGATACTGTTATTTAATATTTCATTATCTCCAACTATTGATTATATAGGTTTGTACTAAATACCTAATTCTTCGCTCAGGTTATTTGGGGTACATTTTTAAACTTTTTGTAAATATTACATCGTTGCTCGTTTATTTATTTTTGCGGAAAGTGGAAATCAAAAGGAACGTTAAAAAAAGAGGATTAAAATTACTCAGTTTTTTAAAAATTGATATCTTACGACCTTTATACATATATGTAATTATATCAAATTAAAAAACTTGTTCGTGTGTATATGTAAGTAGAAACCAGGAATTTGATTGCAAAATACTCCTTTTGTGCCAATGGCTTTTATTGGCTTGTTTGATGTAAATAAAAACATAAAGATGACAGTAGACAATGGCAAATTCTACATGTGATAGGCACATGATTAAAGGGACCGCATCAGTCGAACGGTCTGCTTGTATTCTGAGTTATTTAATAAACAATATTTTAATTGTCGCTAATTATGGAAGGTTACACATTTTTATATTCGTGATTTCACTGTCAGTATAATGTTTTAAATGTATGTTTATATAATGTTGGTATCAAGAAGTTTTGTCTAATTTGTATTTTAGCGAAGATGATTTTATTTTATTTTTTTACGATGCATTTGAATTGCTCATAATAATACCAATATATACAAAGGTTTTCAGTGATTAAGTGATTGATTGATCATTATTATAAAATGACTCACCTGCACAATTGCCACTCCAAGGACTATCATCCAACCCCATCCTCCATCAGGGGGCACCAAAACTGTTTCCGCACTATTACTCATTTTAATTTTTTTTTTTGGATTTTATAACGAACACATTGAACCTTTTCGGTTGTTTTATCTTTCTATTTGATTTGAATGCCGTGTAAAATGTTTACACCGGAATACTATTTACCTACCTACTAAACAACAAACTATTTGTACAAACATCTTCTGGATTTTTTGTATCGCGTTCGCAAAGATGCGATATCAACTTTCGATTACTGCTAAGACACTAAAACTGGCTTTAGTAATAATAATAAAATCGGTTTCAATCTATTCTCACTGATATCGTTAAGTTGATATTGTCAAGTGCCAATATAGTATTTACGCGTGTTCTTACTGTGGTGTTTACAATGTACCATACACCATGAGACTAATTTATACATTGCGCGAAAAAAATGTTCAAGTGGTTAATTAAATTCACTGCTAAATTTCTGCGATCCGCGAAAGTTACACGTCACTTTATCGCACTGTCCATTTTTTTTTTGTTGACGTACTTATTTATTTTATCATCACAATTTAAATTTATTTTTTGACCTTTGCGAGGCAATATATACGTTGATCTTTTTTGGACTGTGTACGTATATTTATTCGTTTGGATCTGTTCCATTTCATTTTCTATTTTTGGTGAGCATGAAACTTGTTTTATGGGAGCGAATATACAACACTAATAAGTAATAATCTTAATAGTCGTAATAATAAAAAGCACATGTCCTAGTCGTGAAACCATCCAAGTTTAACAGCAAGAATTTTAATTTAGATAAGTTGTTCTTTATCACATACTAAATCTTGTAATATGATAGATTCAACTTATGAAAAATTAATCCTGGGTTGTCCTCGTTTTTTAATTGTGGGTATTTTTAATTGCAATGCACCGATGCTGACTCCTAGTAGCTGATCGTGAGATTAGGCTCCACTTTATTCGTTTTTCACCGTATCGCAGACGCTCTACGACAGTCATAAGAGATAGATACGCGGAAACTTGCAAAAGGTAAATTTGATCCAATTTCTGTTAAGTATTTTTGAGGTCTTAATCTTATCGTTGTCAAAAAATTATGCTTTAAGTAAAAATCCTAATATTTATGTTTTAAGGACTTAAGAATGACGTTCTATTTTCTATGTTTCATTTTCATAATTGAATTTAATAATATTATGTTTTTCAAAAAAACTAATCATCTAATCGTAAGATAGTTATGAGTATTTTAAACTATTTTCTAAAATCAACCATGAACTAGCTAATGTTTTTTATACCTAACGTGGACGTCGGTGTAACGATGTTCCACCAGGACGACCCCGTTTTAAATTTATGAAGAATTAACATTATTTTAAAGTAGACAATAGATACTCTAGATGTCTAAAGGGAAGATTATAAAAAAAAATACGTGTAATTATACAACACGTTACTGAAGTGAAACTTCTTAAAACACACAAACATCCTATAGAGTGTAGGCACGAATACACAAACACATACAAATACATTCATACATTTTGTTAGGGTTACACTATACATGCCTGAGTTGTCTGTAACGAACGTTGCATTGAAGCGCGCTCACGGCTCAAGCGATCCCGACTACGAATTCGACTACGTGGTCGAGTAGAGGGGGAGCATCCGTTGCATTATTTCGTTACATAGCAACTCGCATGAAACGAACTTACCCTACCGTGTGTAAAGTTCAATTTCACGGTGTTACGGTGTATATTACTTGCTGTTCAAATTTTGTTTTACTTTGTTTCGGAATATTGCAATTGTATAATTTTTATGTCAATTTTGTAATTTAATTTTTGCAAGATACGTTTAAAACTGATACCAATTATGTATTTCATTTAATTGTTTTGTTTTGTAGGTATAATCGAATTTAATAATCGATAAACTCTAATCTGTTCATTTTAAATGTTAAAAATGTTACTAAAAAGTCATAAAAATTTATTATGGCATGAATAAGCAGATATTAATTAAAACGGCAAACAATATCCATTTTATAGTTTTGTTTAATTTGCCATGACGTATTTATAGGTACTATATCTTTATAAGTCAATAAATTGAGTTAAGAAATATATTACGATGCCACTATTCCGCCCAATTTATAAAAAAAGGGATGCATTGGACAGTGATTTTGCACAGTACTGGATAACCGGGTACCCGGCAAAAGTACTGCTGTTAATGGTTCGTCCCTTCGTATTGACGGGCTTTCCATTAAATACCACCCTCACAAACGTTCCAAACCACATAAGTCCCTTTCAAAAAGACATTTAAACACTAAACCAATGTATTTCTTGGTTGGGGATTTTAAACAAGAGGGTTGAGTTAAAACCGTTGAAACGAGCCTATAAAGTTTATAAACACTAAAAGTCTACAAGATGACAACATCATATTATTATTTTTTATTACGCAAATTTTTAGTATACTTATTAAATTATTATTATTGCTGGTGTTTGTTTTTTCTTTTTTGACGTGACAACGTCTTATAATTCGATGGAGCCGGCTGCACGCACGAAAAAACGTGACTCATGCGGCGTTACCTCGCTCGGAGGCGTTCCATTTAAGGCTTGAAGTGCAAGCGAGAGCGCGGAACGAGCGACAAAGAGGCACAATCGGTCTCCGCGTTCGACATCTGTCTCTCTTCTACTCGAGTGAGCGATGCGTCCGGGTGGACAGCTGCTATACAATAATACATTTCCATTTGCCTCCTTCTCTATATCCATACAAAATATCTATCAAACAAATAAAATTAAAATTTTCTTTTGAAAAATGAAACCATTCCATCAGTATTTTCTTATGACGTTGTCACGTTCAACTATCGTCAGTAAACCGACTTTACAGACAACCGATTTTTTTTCTGGTAGAATTACCCCGCACTGCCAGGTACCTAGCATCATTATCCGGCACCAGAGCAGATCCTAAAAAAGGTGCCGGATATCCGCTAGGTACCTGATTCAAACCGGGTACCCGGCTCATCCCTAATAAAAAAAAAACGTCAGTCAGTAGATGTGTCTTGTATGACTCTTTCTCTGTCAAATTTCTTTTTTGATAAATGTTGGATACGCTGAAAGATCATAAGGTTACGGTAAGGAAAAGCGGCGATGGTAAATTCGACCGATTTAGTGGGTCTCTGTTAATTGTAGTGCAATGGAGAGATTTTATAATCCAGAAAAGACAGCACCAATGAAATGGGTGTACTGTGGTCATGTCATCCTGTTTGTTTGATAGTCGGCATAGCAGTTGAATATTTATTTTACATTGTAATCACTACCGTCGAGCGTCGAGTATAAAACTTACATAATCTTACCATTAATTTTAATTATTTAATAAAAACTAAAAATTTTTGATATTTAGAATTCAGTCTCCAAAAGAAATTCATTCGAGTACATTTTTGTCAAGAAATTCTAAAACCTAGTTTTTCGTGGTTGTTTTGATCAAACAAACAAATAATTTCGATGGATAAAAAATGTTGAAAATTCTTATTTCTATTTTCGGGCCTATTACGATAAATTCTCAATAAACTTGAAAGTTAAAAAATTAAGATTTTAATTACGTATCACACATTATGCAATATTCTGTTTATTTATCATGTGAGTAATTCCTTTAATGTTTTTGTTATGTAAACTTTTAATTATTACTGCCAATGTCCGAAATGTTTTAATTGGACTTTGGACTATCCTATTTATCATTTAAAGCAATTTGTGAGAAAATGCTAGAGTGTCCGTTTGTGAGAATAAAGGAAGTAAATAAAATAGTCAAAATAGTTTATACGAACAAACGGAGTTTGTTCATTTTATTTTAAAACTCACGACTAAAATATTATGAGAAGTCTGCAACAACTTATAAATATCTTAAGTGAGTAAAAGTGAGTTAAGTCATAATGAAAATGCCGCTTTGCTTATTAATTATAATAAAATCACAGACCGTCAGTTGTTTACTACTCTAACAATGAGACTATTATGAATAATAATGAATGGCAACTATCAGCTTTTATTTGGTTTCTTGTTGTCTTTGTTTCGATTCTTTGCCCATACAACGATGTACTCTATACTCCAGGCGAAACAACATAACATGATGAAAAACGTTTGTGAATGTAGACAAAGGGGGTAACTTCCAGATTTGTCCCGAATATAACCTGCAAACGCATAAAATATTTTTATCGTATTAGATGGATTTGTGAAACTTAAAGGAATCAGAAATAAAATTCTACAATCAATTTTTCATATACATATGTATATTATAGGTAGCCAAAAATTTAAATTATCATTAGATAAGCAGGCAGAAAAACTATTGTTTTTTACTTCACCCTAAAAGGGTGTACCAATGTACAAAGTAGTTATTTTTATATCGAATTCGTGAGATTTTGGGAGAAGTTTAATTTTAAAATTTACAAATTTGGGGGTAACGTAAAAGACAGACTGATGTACCATTTTTATAATGTGATCTCAATGAGTGTGAAATAAATCTATAAAAAAGTCGTTTACGACTTTTGCCGTACTGCTATAACCACTAATAAAAAAGGGACCACATAAAACTATAATTATTTTACACTAGATTTTACTCGTGGCTTCGCGCGTGTTGATGTCCTAAATGCGTGTCAAAAGTCATCAACGTCCATATAAAACTAATCTATATATATATAAAAGAAATTCGTTTTAGTTACACTATTTATAACTCAAGAACGGCTGAACCGATTTGGCTAAAAATTGGTAAGGAGGTAGCATAGAACCAGGAGAAGGACATAGGACACTTTTTATCACGTTCCACGCGAAAAACGCAATTGACATGCAATGACAAAACGCAACTGACAGCAAAATGAAAAATTTATTAGTCCAAACATTAGTCTAGCCGTGCATTTGTTAAAAATGGTATAACAATGCGCAACTGTCAGCTAAACGTGATGTTGTCTCTGGTTCAGTATGTTTTATATATAGTCAGATTTACCTGAAACTTGGCTTTAATGCTTTTTCATATAAAATTAGTGATATACATACCTATTTCAACATTTTACAAAATTCTACTTCTTTAGGAAGCTGAAAGAGGTTTGCAAAGATTGCATGTTAGTTTTTGGTCCGATATACTTGAAACTGGTTAAAAAATTCAATCTCTATTGGGTGGGATGAATGGTGGAGACGAATTGCAATGTTTAAATGGAACATATACTATTTGTGGTCAGATTTACTTGAAACTTGGTTTTAATCGTCTCTCATTTAATTTCTGAAAGACCTATATCGACATTTTAAAGAATTCAATCTTCAAAGGGTGGGAAGATGTTGCAATTTTTGTTCGGGACATACTTTATTTGTGGTTGAATTTACGTGAAGCTTAGTATATATGCTGTTTAATATAATTATTCAAATTAAAATAGGTTGCAAGTTTTCCATGGGGTATATTTTATTTGTACTCGGATTTAGTCGAAGGTTGCTCATTGTTGAAATTAAGCAAATACGTGTTTTGGTAACTTTTAAAAACTGACCCTTAAGGATGAAATGTTGTTGCTACGTTTGTATTTGAAATCTAAGATGGCGACATTACATAAAATTAAAACGTTGTAAGGGTGAATTAAGAGTTAAAAGGTTTTATGGAGAAACTATATTAATTTCTGCGAGCGAAGCCGCGGGGAAAAGCTAGTTTCTAGATAAAAGGTACCGTATGTCTATATATTTTCTGTTCCCCTGATAATGTGCCTATTTTATTATTATAATATGAATTCAAATTTATGTACTGTACCCCTTTTTAGCGAAAACCACACATTTAATTCTTTTTTTTGTGGAAAATGACTTACACAAATTTTAAACTGAAATAGTCAGTTATTGAATTATTTTTTATTAAATTCCTATACTATTGATCAATTTCTTCAATATGCTATCATTTATCAGTACTGCAATGCATCACGTTGGTAATATCAGCGAACACAGACTTTAAACCTTGATAATGTAATTGCAGTGCATAAGTAATGCAACCAAATGATAGGAATAATAACATAATTACTCGACAGCTGTAGATCTGGGATGGTGTTGATCGATGGTTTATAAAAATTGATTGTAACTACTTTAAATACATATCTACATAATTTAATTAAAAATGTACAGAAACTAAATACAGTAGAATCCGCTTAAAATGACATCGAAAGGAAACGACAAACACGTCATACTAAGCGGGCGTCACACAAAGCATAGTCTTACAAAATAAACAACTTTCCATTTTTGGTTAGTTATTTAGTTTAATAGAGAGAAAAACTACAAATTGTATATATTTATTAACANAAAACCGCATTAAAATCCGTTGCGTAGTTTTAAAGATTTAAGCACACATAGGGACAGACAGCGGGAAAGCGACTTTGTTTTATACTTAAAAAGTTAAAGATAAAGATAAAGCTTCTAGAAAAAATACTTCATTAGTTCAATTGACAAAAATGCTGAAAATGACGATCAAAATTGTCGTGTTCAACTACTGGATAATCTTAAACACTATGAATTGTCAGAATAAGTGTAAGGAACAATAAAAAGTTTTTCAAAAACTTACTAGACTCAGTATTAGGGCTACCGTTGTTTTTACACTTCGTCCTAGCAAGAGGAGTTAGACCTAGATTAGATTACTGTTCACATATAGTTAAGGAAATGGGTTGTTCTAATTTTACGGACTGACGGTCTTATGGTGATGACGATGGTCCCTGATGCTTCTTTCATGTAATCTAGTGTATTTAGACTTCGTCAAGTATTACTACTTATCTTCTGTTAAAAATTAATTGTTTAATCAGTTTATAATGTTCGAAATGATAGGTAAATGCAAAAGACTTAATTTTTTGTTTCTTTTAAAAATCACCAATATTTTACGTGGGTTGTTTGGTTAAATTGTCTCCTTTGGACGGACTCGGCTAGTTTACGGTTCATAGTGATAATGATATAAGTTCTTACATATTTGTCGTTAGATATGTATCTGTTATTGCGATATCATTAGAATGCCGTTTTTTTGTGTGCAATTTCAAAGAACGGCCTACCGCAAAAACAGTTGTAACAAGTTCTGCGTACAACCGGGTAATAGTAAACCTGCAATTACATTATTGTTAAGCAACATATCTATTGGTGTGCGTATCAGTTTTCTTCTAACGAAAAAAAAAAAAGAATAAAATGCGCAATAAGTGTACAACAACACAACGATTGGGTTAAATTTTATTATTTTTCTTTAGGTACAGTAGAATCCGCTTGTAATGACATCGTAGGGAAATGACAAACGCGTCATACTAAGCGGGCGTCACACAAAGCATAGTCTTACAAAATAAACAACTTTCCATTTTTGGTTAGTTATTTAGTTTAATAGAGAGAAAAACTACAAATTATGTATATTTATTAAAAGAAAAAGAACGATGAATTATAATGTGAATATACATAAGAAGGGTAAGAAAAATGAGCGAAAATGTTATTATTAATCATTTAGGTCACTATAGCCGGATATGATTTCTTGAAAAATCACTTATAATAAACAATATGTGATTTTAAACGGAGTCATTATATGCAAACGTTCTTATAGAGAATTTAATATGAAAACCAAACTTAACACTGCAATTACTTCATATTAAGTGGTTGGTCAATATAGGCGGAGTCATAATAAACGAATTCCACTGTATAAGAACAAGTACAAAATGTCTATTACTTTTTTGATCAGTATTGTATTTCGGGATGATGAGCCGTGGTCTGTTTGGATTATCACATCCGTTGCAGCAAACTTTACGTCGTTTACCACATCCCCTTTGAAAATGTCTACCGCAATTGTAGACGAAACGTTAGGAGATAATCCAAACAGACCACGTCCCTTCAGCCTTGTATACAATACTGTTCAACTAGACGTCAGCCGTTAAAGCCTATATTCAACTATTACTTTTTTGTTAATTTTGATGTGGAACGAGAAGCTGGAAAACAATCAGGGATAGCTTGGATTCATCATCATAAAGGAGTCAAAAAAACTTTTAAATAATTTATCAGTACTTACCGAGAAGTGGCCCAAAAGCCACTACAAATATTCCTTTACCAACCATATGAAGACCGAATGCGGCCGGAAGCTTCTCCAAGGAAGAATATTCCGCTATGGTTATTGTGAAATTAATTAGAGCACAGCCTCTAAAGAACCCGCAAATAACGAGGACAATCACGATCATCGTCCACTCAGTCTGTTCCGCTAATACTGAAAATAAACACGAAGACATCCATTTAACAACTGAAACTACTTTATTATTTGGCAACTTTCGCCATTTTAGCTTGAGTTAGTTAAATTAGAAATAGAAAATTTTAGGAAAAACGTTATCACAAATTTGCGAACATTATTGATGTGGAGTTTTACCTATTCATTGAGAATTCCTTATGGATTGTTAGCAAGAAAAAGTTACAGAAATATTAGAACAAAAAAATCAAGTAACAAACAGTTTACTCCGATTGCACATGAAAAAAATTTGCATTAATTTTTGAAGTGAAACTTTTTTAGCAAAGGTAATGCCAGAAAGAGTCGTTATGGAAATCAATGTAACACAGTTTGTAAGTAAACACGTGCAATTTGGATACTTTTAAAAAGACAGAGGAGGTGCAATCGTGTATGCCAACAAGTTTCAGTTTGATTATGTGTTAATATGGATGAGATGCACGTCTTTTTATTTTAGTTTGAATTACAAGAAAAAAATGAAGATGATTAGAGTAGAATAAAACAAAATTGGAATAAGTCTTTTTCTTACCTGATCGACTAATTCCGAGCAGAAAGATAGAAATAAAAAACAGAGTTCGTTTCCTGATATTAAATTTATCAAAAATTGGTGAAAAGATTAACCGAACAGAACTATCAGCAGCAGCTTGAATCGACAAGAAGTTCGCTTGATCTTGTTTCGTGTACTGAAGATTGTTAAAGAAAAATGGAAGTAACATCTTAAAATTTTGTTCAGCCACGTAGAACGCTGATAAACCGAATACAAGATTTAAATATATCGGATCTGTTAGCAAGTCTAAATCCAAGAAATCAATTATCTTTTTCCAAACAGTATCTTTCTTTTTTGGTTCAAAGTGCAGAGGTTCTCTCTCCCGTATTTCCTTGAGAAGTTTGTTTTCCCTGTCATGGGTTTGAACAGCAGGATAACTCATATTTCTCCGTATACCATGAGCTAGTGGAACTGTTAGTCCGTTTTCATTGCATTTCGGTTCTTCTCTAACAGGCTGCAAAATAATAATATTTAATATGTTTTAAATTAAATTATAAAACGAATACTGACATCTTGCAAGTGAAGATGGAAACTTGATCCCGTAAAATCCATGGTAGATATACTGGAATAAATTGATTCGGTTGATGTCTTTCTGCGTCTATTTAAAAAACTCATGGTAGAAAAATTTCGAGGAAACGTCGCTTTTCTGGTCAAGGGTCGTTCGTCAAACACTTTGGGAGATAGATCTGGATTAGTTGTTACGGTTATTAAAGTGGGAGAAGTGGCATCACTTTCCAGATCCTCTTCAGCTTCCTTTATTGTTTCCATTTCCTGCAAAAGGCGGAATGGGCTAGAAAAATTTAAAATGTTAGTCCACTTTTTAAACAATAGGGGCATTTAGACGAGAATAGGTATATAATGTGTTTTAAATTTGTTGCTCCAAATTTTGCTTTTGAATTACATCACGGAATGTTCAGTATATGGTAACTACTTTTTTTACTACTCTCTTACCTCGTTTGAAGCAAAATAAAAGGACATCTTATAATAGCAGCATGAAATATAAAAGGCAGTTTTATATTATTTCATTTTGTTTTCGCGATTTCACTATTTCGCAACTTTTCCGAGTAATAATTTTCTTAAGATATAGTTGACCTCAAAAAAGTCACAGCATGTGAGGCAGTTACCCAAGTGTCTTAATGAAAACGCATTCATTTCTATCAACTGCTACCAAATAGCAATAACTGAATACGAGATTGCAAATACTTGTAATATTAAGATCTCACCTTTATCGGTTCTTCTTCTATGACTTTATCTGGAACCAAATGCCATTTGGCCGGTTGTAAAAGGGCTGATCCTACCAGTCCATGTAAAGCAATTGCGCCTAATATTAGAATAGCGCCACTAAACGTATACATTTCCAATAGGAACCCTACAGCGTGTGGTATGACGAACATACCGAAGGCTGTTCCTGCCATCGAATATCCTACCGCTTGACCTCTTTTTTTAAGGAAGTAATGGTTTAAGGAAACAAAAGTTGCTGAAGATGCTAAACCAACACCTATTCCTGTAAAAATTAATACTTAATCAATTTGCTATTTCTTCTCCTAGTTCTAATATGAAAACAGATTCAAGGTCAAAAGTAAGTCGTTATTGAGTTATAAAACCGGCATCAACGTTTCGCCTCTTGTTGGTAAACATTATCAAGACTAAAATATGTATAAATAATAGTTGAACAAAATTAGATTGTAGTGGACATGTACTAGGCCTTTTAGTTAGTTATATGCTGTTTATAAATAATAAATCGGTGTCTGCAATCGGTACATATTTTTGTAAATTATTAAAATCCAGCAACACAGATGCATTAAATAATAAATAAATAAATATGTAGTTAAAAACTTTACTGAAAAACAACACGATGTATGAATAAAATAATAAATTATTATAGCATTTCAAAACTACCTGGCTACATTAAGGACACAGAAACGTGACAGAAAGTTGTAGCAAAAAAATCGTAATTTTTTACAAAAGGTAGTTAGTTAAGTATTAGTGCATATAGTAATCACCAAATAAGTTAGTCAGTAGTTAATTAATCCATATTAAGTAGTTTTAAGAAGGATATTAATAATAAATAAATTTATTGTCCGTTCATCATTCAAAATTAAGATTAGTTACTTAACTAACTCCTTTTTGCAAAAAATTACAATTTTTTTGCTACAACTTTCTCTCACGTTTTTGTCTTATTGTAATAGCGTTCTTTAATGTCACCATGTGGTTTTTATTGCTATAATAATTTCTCATTTTATTTATACATCGTTCTGTATAACTATTTATTTATTTATTATTTTAATGCATGTATTGTTGGATTTTAATAGTTTACAAAAATATGTACTGATTGCAGACACCGATTATTATTTATAAACAACATATAACTAAAAGAAATTAGTACGTGTCTACTGCAATTAAATTTTGTTCAACTATAATTTATATATACTGTAGTCTTGATAAAGACTCCCAAAAAGAGACGAAACGTTAGCGTTAGTTCTATAACTCAGTAAAGACATTACTACCCACTTTGGCCTTGAATTTGTTTTCAAATTAATACTTAATTTTGATTCGGTTTTGCACTAGTAAATAGTAGAGGAAATTATAAATCTTGCAGTTAAATATTATAAAAAAAAATATAAAAATTTATTCATCTTTAGGTTTTCAGGTTATTGTTAATAACAGACCAATCGATAAAATTTTACTTGTATAGTAGGTATGTATATCGACCACTGATGAAAAATATTTAATTTGGTAAAATAAAATTGTAGATAATATTTGGGAAGTTTATACGTAATAAGTAAAAAAAAAGCAATGCAGCAACATTTTTCAGATGAATTGACTCGTTAGATATATCTTTGTAACAATTGTTTAAACATAAAATTAATATTTCACAAAAAGTTTTGCTCCATACCCATTTATAAAGATAAAGGTTTGAATTTCAAATACAATTTAATTACTTTACAATAGAATAAATATTAGCAAGCCGAATAAAATTGGATCAAGATAATAATTATTCAGAAACAATAGTGAAGAGAAAGAAGAATTTAGAAAGGATCACAACAATGAAAACTTAATAATTAAGAATCCATTCACGATTCATTAATGGTAATTTCTTTCTTACTTACCGTTAATAATACTGTATGTGGCAATTATATGCGTCATACTCCGGGCTGGAGAGGTCATCATTAATCCCAGAGCTGTTAAGAAGGCGCCAGCAAAAGATACTTTTCGATAAGAAAAGGCACGAATTAAAGGGCCGACAAATAAACCAGAAAAATTAATTAACGCATCTAAGGTACTCATTATCACAGCTGATCCTGTCGTCGCTACACCTATTTCGGCTAAGACGTCTCCAAAAAGAATTCCAAAGGATTGTTCTATTGATCTTGTGCATAGCTAAAAGTGAATGAAGACAGTTTCAATTCTCTGTAATGAAGCATTTTATTCCGTTATAGAGAGCGCAGAAATATAATAGAATTTTAAAAATTAATTTTTTAAGACTACTACAGGGAGTATAAAAAAATCGATAAGCACATAACCCAACAGAAAAGACCTTTGTGGTCAGTCTCCTGTCGCACAATGAACAACGACAATGAAATAAAATGATAATGATAATGTGCTAATCGTAAGTCCAAAATACTTCCACATTACTGTCTCCTTCTCTCTTCTACACATAGGGACAGATAAAGTCGATAATCGATTTCAAAGACAAATAATTCATTAGTTTCTAATCATATTTCACATCAAATGATACCAAATCGACCAATGGTCTCTTTAATAATAATTAATTCAATGTAGACAATAGGACGTCAAGGAGCAGATCTCAATATTGAAGGCTGGATGTTTGAACTGGCATCTCAAGAGTGGACAAATTTAGTAATAATTAAAGGGTTCAAATATAGAAACATAAAAATTAGTACGGCTTGATTGATAACACCAAGAACCCATTAAGAAGCGTCGAAAGTAAGTCAATCATTTACGCAAATCGTCGTCCAATGACTTAAAAAAGTTGGACAATTGGAAAAGACCGAGTCATAGCTTTTGAACGTTGGTTACTTATTCTTTACATTCAATTGTCAGTCGCACATCATAAAGGGAATTGTTTTTTGAACCACTTCGTATCATTTGATGAGAGATATAATTGTAATTTATAAACTAATGACTACTTTGACATTGAAATCGCCCATCTATTCTATCACCTTCCATAACACGTATTAAAACTGCATTTTAGGTCACACACTATGCTTTTCCAATAACACAATAAAAGCAAGAGTGGATACAAAAAACATTTCATTTGACAAATCAACATCGACGTTTCGCCTTTACTGCCTATTAAAGTATGTAGGTTTTAGATTTAATGATACTTTTTCTGCATGACAATGGTGCATAATTGTCTAGTTCTTATGAAAAAGTAAAACAATTTGTGCAACACAATATGTATAAATATATAATAAATAACAAATAACATAAGTACAATAGTTAAAACCCTGTGAAATAAACAGATTTGATAAATAATCCATCCTGAGTTTGATTCTGTAAGGAATGGAAGTTGTTTTTCTTTACTACTTATGCTACTATTCACATTAATGTGGTTCTTTGTTTCGTTACAGTTTTTTACAGAGTTGTATTCAGTTAAATGGGTTGCATTAAAGTTGAAGGGTTTCATGATATTCGTATTTTAATACTCATATTGTGTAAATAAATACATTGACTTCTTTCAACTAAATGCTTAAATGATATCAAAATAGATCATTATTAATGACATCCAAATTTCCTTTAAAAGCATCAGTGTAAAATTAATAAAATAATTAGTCCCGGCATATTTGTAAATATTTACATTGAATTGCAATAACTCTTAAATATTTTTTTGTTTAATGTGAAGTGCGCACATTTTATTTATATTTAATACTAGCTTGTCCCCGCGGCTTCGTTAGCAGAAATTAATATTGTTTCTCCATAAA